AGTTCCACAGATCTATAGAGCAGGGGTAAAATGCTACCAGTCTCTTTGCTAAAGCATGGTGAGAGTGACCCTTATTCCAACTTCCAATAAGTTCTTTATCTCCACCTGAGACCTCCTCAGCCTGGACTTCACTGTCCCTCCTCCAACATTGGGGATTGCAATTTGATGTGATATTTGGGAGGGGACACAGATCCAAACCATATCAGTGGGGGAAGAACACCATGGTGAATGGTGCTGGGAACACTGACAAGCCACATGTATAAGAATGAAACTGGATTCTCATCTCATCTTATTAAAAAATCAACTCAAGGTGGATCAAAGACTTAAATCTAAGACATGGAACCATTCGAATTCAAGAAGATAACATTTGAAAAACTTTTCTAGACATTGGCTTAGGCAAAGAATTCATGACTAAGAACCCAAAAGCAAATGCAACAAAAATAAATAAATGAGACCTAACTAAACTAAAAATCTTCTGTACAGTAAAAGAAATGATCAGCAGAATAAACAGACCACTCACAGAGTGGGAAAAAAAAACTTACAAACTATGCCTCGACAAAAGACTAATATCCAGAATATACAAAGAACTCAAACAAATCAGCAGGAAAAAAAACCAAACAATCCCATTGACAAATGGGCTAAAGACATGAATAGAGAATTCTCAAGAGAAGATATACAAATGGCCAAACAACACATGAAAAAATGCTCAGCATCACTAATCATTATGGAAATGCAAATCAAAACCACAATGCGATATCACCTCACTACTGCAAGAATGGTCATAATAAACAACCAACCAATCAACCCACCCACCCACCAACCAACCAACCAACCAAACAAACAAAAAACAGTAGATGTTGGCATGGATGCAGTGATGAGGGAACGCTTCTATACTGATGGTGGGAATGTAAATAAGTATAGTTGCTATGGAAAACAGTGTGGAGATTCTTTAAAGAACTAAAAGTAGTTCAATTTGATCTACAATTTGATCCAGCAATCCCACTACTGGGTATCTACCCAGAGGAAAAGAAGTCAATATTCAAACGGGATCCTTGCACACGCATGTTTATTGGGGCACAATTTATAGTAGCAAAATCATGGAACCAATACAAATGCCCATCAATCAATGAGTGGATAAAGAAACTGTGAGATATCTATCTATCTATCTATAGGATTTATATGTGTATATATACGTGTGTATATGTGTATATACACATATACATATGTGTATATATGTGTATATTATGTGTGTGTGTATATATGTGTGTATGTGTATATGTATATACACTCATGGATCAATAAGTGGAGAAAGAACATGTGGTAAATATGCACCATGGAACACTACTCAACTATAAAGCAGAATGAAATAATGGCCATTGCAGCAAGTTGGATACAACTGGAGGTCATTATTCTAAGTAAAGCAACTCAGGAATAAAAACTCAGATGCTGTATGTTCTCATTCATAAGTGGGAGCTAAACCATGAGGATGCAAAGGCATTAAAATGATATAATGAACTTTGGAGACTCGAAGGAAGGGTGGGAGGGGTGACAGATAAAATGTTACATATTGGGTACGGTGTACACTGCTTAGGTGATGGGTGCAGCAAAGTCTCAAAAATCACCACCAAAGAATGTAACCATGTAATCAAAAACCACCTGGATCCCACAAATTATTGAAACAAAAATACATATAACTATTAGAATACAAATTATTCTACCATAAAGACACATGCACACGAGTGTTCACTGCAGCACTGTTCACAATAGCAAAGACGTGGAATCAACCTAAATGTTCATTAATGACTGACTAAATACAGAAAATATGGTACATATACACCATGGAATACCATGCAGCCATAAAAAGAACAAGGTCATGTCTTTTGCGGGAACATAGGTGGGGCTAGAGGCCATTATCCTTAGCAAACTAATGCAGGGCCAGAAAAAAAATACTGTATGTTCTCACTTATAAGTGGGAGCTAAATGATGAGAACTCATAAACACAAAGAAGGGAACAACACAAACAGGGGTCTACTTGAGAGTGGAGGGTGGGAAAAGAGAGAAGAGCAGAAAAAATAACTATTGGGTACTTTGTTTAGTACCTGGGTGATGAAATAATCTGTACAACTAACACCCATGACAAGTGATTTACCTATATAACAAACCTGCACATGTACACTTGAACTTAAAATAAAAATAGTAAAAATAAATTGGGGAAAAATTTTAAATTTCTCTTTTATTCCAACTTCTTGGCCCCTCACTTGCAAATAGAGGCCCACATACACCAATGTTTAGTAGCATCACAGATGGCATCCCAGAGGAATAGCAATGCTGTGGGAATTGGACATCAAGGGCAATATTATCACAGAGTATATTTATTCTTTGGGAGTTTCAGCAATAACTGGGAAAACCAACAGATCTTTGAGATGAGGAGGCTTTAGAGTTCAGAAATAGCTTTTTCCTTCTTGAGCAATGCCCTATTTGCTGGGAGAAGATCATGAATTTGGATTGAGCAGGATGAAGAAAGATGTTGAATAGGTTTCCAGAGGCAATTCAAAAATTGTTAGTTGAACGTTGGCCCTGGACTCTATGTCATCTCTTTGTATCTGAGATATCATTCGTGGCTACCATGAGCACAGAGTAGTAGCTGAAAAAAAAATGAATGTAATGAATGGCCCATAGGAAGTGCACTGAGCTGGTGAATATCATTCAAGAAAGGGCAGTCACTGTGTGTTTGCCTAACAGGGCTGGAATTTAGGACTCTGTTGGTTATTCAGATAAAACGGATGCCAGGCAAGCAGCAAGTAGATATAAACTCCAAGTCATTTTCTGCTCAGGAAGCCAGGGGTTCCAGGATAGGTTTCATCCACTCAGAGCACAAACTGCATAATTCCACAAGAAATGAATTCCATGCTGGTGATAGGGTCTATGATCCATTATCAAAAAGAGAAGTGATCAAGACTGGGACAGGGAAGGTGTAAGGAGGAGAGTGTACCTCATCAGAACACAAGAATTTCCAGTGAGAGGGCAGGGAATTTTATTCCATCCTGGAATGAAACAAGGAAGAGAGGCATGAAGAGTGTCATTCACTGTGCGTTGGCACCTTGAAGTATCTGGATGTTAGGTTAAATGAGGGGTGAGGAGAGAGGCATACCCATGAGAGAGGTTGGAGTTGCAGAAACTGTTGCAATGAACATGGGGAGAGAAAATAATGAACAAAATGACACCTGAGATGGTTCTTGCAAACAAAGAGGCTATTTGGTGGGACTCTCTTCATTCTGGTTTCATTGATTTTTAGGTGATATATTGTTTCTCTTCTTGTAAGTGGTTTTTCATACATGCTATGAAGTAGATAATCACAGCTCTTGTAGTGGGAAAAGGGCTGTCATTCTACCATCTTGGTAGGAACTCCAGAAGCTGAGAATGGAGGGTGAGGACAAGTGCTACAGAGGAACATTCCCAGAGAAAATGAAAATAGGTGTCTGGTTGGTTTCAGTAAAAATATGGATTGCTGTCTATTTTATTTTGCCCCTCTAAAATATATGTGTTCATTGCATTTTTCCTGTCTCTTTCAGTCTTCTTTGATTTGTATAAAGCAGATTTTGTGTCCCTTTGGTGCACATGTTGTGGGAGATTGCAAGTGATAATTTGTAGTCACATCATAGACACCACATCCTGATCAGATAAGATATTGCACTTTACTCTGAGCCTGTTTTTATAATTGTAATGCCTTCAGAGATTTCTTACAGGGTTAGTGTTTTTGGTATGCAGGAAGTAGTTGTGAGTGGAACTAGTTGCCAAGGATGGCCCCTCATGACTACAGTCACAATAACCACAGCTTGTGGAGTCCTCTCCTTCTAATTAGGGCTGTCTGTTTGACTCATATTGATCAATGTAAAGCCATAGAAGTGATACCGTCTGCCATTCAAAGGTAGGTCCTATGATGCCATACACCTTCTCCATGAGCCTTTTGGAAGGCTTTCTTTGGTGAAAGCCAGTCACCATTTGTTAAGTCCCAGAACCATGAGACTCTAATGATTTAAGGAAATCAGTGTCATGAATGGGAAGGTGAGGTAGTGAAGGAGATAGCTCACCAGCTTCTAGGTGTTCACCCAGTCCTGGTGTTGAGTTGGACATGAGTGAAGCATCCTCTGAAATCCCAGCCTCAAAGATCTCGCAGAAAACGTGACTCCCGTCACATGATCTACCACTCACTTAAGTTCAGTAAACCTGTAAAGCTGGGAGAGATAAAAATAAATGATTGCTTTTAGCAATATGTGTTGTGAGGTTTGCTGTGCTGCAATTCGTCGCTGGAAAAGCAGCAAATAAGGGTCTGCTCACTGTATCAATGTACATGATTTGTGTCTATTCCAATAATAATCTATATGTTCTCTGATCTCAAATCATGACCGTTTATTTCCAAAGAGAAACCCCTGGATTCTCCACACATAAAGTGAAACAATCTTCAAATATTTGAAAATAAGAATAACTGGGATTCTTTAAGGGAAATCACTGGGCTCCAGTGATTCTCTAAACTATTACTTGGGTTGAAAACTTCGCATGCAAAACTTGTCATCTTTTTTTTTTTCCAGTTCCTTTGTAGCAGCCCACGCAAAGCCAGGCACAGTGTTCATACACAGTAAGCATCCTGAGAACAATGGAAAAAATTAAGAAATTTCACATAATTTTCCTCAAGTTACAGATTTCCCCCAAAGTCACCACGTACACCTGTGTGGCTGTAAACAGCTACCTAGCATGTAAGTGCCATGAGTCATTTGAGATTGGGTAAGTGTTTTAGTTCAGACTGTCTGACGTCAACTACGTGCTATAGAAGGATGCTGTTTCTAATGTCTTATCAAACATTCCAGGGACCTTGTCACTCACTCCCTTTGCAACAGGAAGGTTTATCCCCTTTGATTTCCTGATGCCTCCCATAGAATGCCCTGGTCCCCCTTGGGGATGACCACTTCCTCTTTCCCCCTCTTAAAGCAAGAACCAAATCATGTGAGTTTTCGTGCTGTTTTAATGACCAAGTGGAGGGGAAATTGTGAGGAGGAATTATTCTGTTAGCAGGCTCTGGGAATCCCATGGTCAGGTAGAAAGAGGGTTTCCTCAACAATGAGGAGTGTAATCATCTCCATCCATTGCTGACAAGCACTGAGTCCAGGGAGACATCTCTGCACACTTGAATCATCTTCACATATGATGGTGGGATTCGATGGACAAAGGCGTAAATGTATTCACCATTTACCTTTACCTTTAAGAGGAAGAATGCATCAGAAAGACAAGTTTTCAGCCTCCTCTCCACTCTGCCCTAGTACCAATAACATTCCCCAAGAAAACCGCTAGTTATACAAGTTAACGTATTAGATACACTTCTGTTTACAGATGACATTTTGTGCCTATTTGAGACAGTAGCTGATTTTATTTCTAATGTTTCCACTCATTCCTCTAGTGAAGTTCTATACTCTGTGTCACAAAGTCTTTGCTTACTCAGCCTCCCTTCTAACCTGGAAGTTACCCGTTGCCAGGAACTGTGTCTCAGGAACTTGAGACCCTGCATCTCACACAGCACCTGCCACAGGGTTGGTGCTAGGCCATGTTCATTGAATGCATACTTTTCAGTTCCATGAACTGTGATTGCTTTTCACTACTGATGGCACAGTTTCTCTTTGGAGTAACCTATATCCAAAGTGTTAGTGGCAAAGAAGTAAACCCAGTGTTCTTATAGAATGAAAGGAGAACAGTTCTTGTAAAACAGGATATTACCTTCAACAACTTCTAAGCATAGGAAAAGATCCCTCGCTTGAATCTGAATAAGATGTGAATGTTTTGGCCTACTCGTTAGAGAAAGCCAGAAAGTATGGATATATTCTTTATATTGAGGCTATGGAGAAAGTCACCTTATTAGTATTAATTTTTCAAATTTGAAATGCACACATTTTTAAAGCCAGTATTTTCATTTTTTTGTAATTATCTTCTAGTAAAAGTATTGGGAGGTTGGTAATGACAAAAGAATTGATTAGAAAACTTAATACAGCGTCATTTGTGAGAGCAAAATACTGGAAAGAAATTTAATGCCCCCCAAAGGGCCAGGTTCAACAATTTTGGGTAAACTTTTTAATGCAATATTATGCAGTCTTTAAAATCTGAAGCAGCATCATAGATTGACAATGTCTTCGAGATATATTCTTTGGCAACAAATCAACTTAGTTCCTGAAGCGTAATGTGTAGAGCAACTTATACCAGGATTTGCTTAAAAACAAATGAAATCATAGACGTATCTATATGCTTCCATAAGCAAAAAATTTCCTCTGAAGGGCTAGGCACAGTGGCTTAAGCCTGTAATCCCAGTATATTGAGAGGCCGAGTTGGGCAGATAACTTGAGGTTGGGAGTTCAAGACAAGCCTGGCCAAAGTGGTGAACCCCCGTCTCCCCTAAAAATATAAAACTTAGCCAGGTGTGCTGGCACGCACCTGTAGTCCCAGCTACTAGGGAGGCTGAGGCAAGATTATTGTTTGGATCCTGGAGGTGGAGGTTGCAGTGAGCTGAGATCATGCCACTGCACTCCAACCTGGATGACAAAATGAGACTCTGTCTTAAGAAAACAAACAAACAAAAAACCCTCTTTGAACGAAAGCAGAGCTCTGATAATGTTTTTCCTATGAGTAGAATTCGGGCCCCAAAATGAGACGAAGACTTAATTTTTGACTGATTAAAACAACTTTTTTTTTAAACCTTTTTTTTCCTGAAGTATATTGTATTCACTCAACTAAATGAAAATTTAAATAATGGCATAAGTAGAAATGAGCACTATGTGAAAAGACAGAGGAGATTCTCAACTTTGGGGGAAATGTCAGGTGAGCTGACCTTGACATTGGTCAGATTTGGGATAGAGCTGAGGATGGCACTGCAAGCAGGGGGTGTTCTGTGATGAAAACCAGGGGCAGGAGTAGTTATGAGAGATGGACCCCGAGGGACTGCTGAGGCAAGGTCAATGAGAGCTGCCTCCTGTTTTGGGAACCCACAAAGCCTGGGTGCTGGGAACTCCTGGGATGCTCACCTCGTACTCATTGTAATGCACATAGATGCACAGCTCAAATTGTTTGCCATCCTCAAAGGGCACGTAGTCTGTTGTCTCCTCCAACATCCATATCCCAAACTCACGCCTGTTCATGACCACGTGATTGCCAAAGTGCACTCGGAAACAGAAGGCAATATCTGAGTCCTCATCCATGTCAGTGTAGAAATCCACCTGCAGCTGTGGGTCGTTGCTGAGGGCAAAGCATGCAGAATGTTGGGCAGGTCCCTCCCTTGTGCAGACACACACTAGACACACACACAAATCCCTTCCCCCATTTACCCAGGGAAAATGTCTCCCTGATAATGCTGATGGCCAGGTCCCTGTGGGGATGCGTCAGCTCCTCGTGCCCGCAGCAGGGAGATTCTGTGCTCCTCATCCCCAGATGAAAACTGAGTCACAGCCACTGACCTTGGCCTATGACTTGTTTATTCCCTGAAAATTCGATGCCCCTTGATAAAGAGCCACGGCCCCAACCCACTGAGTGTCCTCCTTCCCTAGGCTCCGTGGCTGGCTCACATGCAGTTGCTGCAGGTCTCATGCCTGGTGCTGGAGGGACTCCAAGGACCGGCACCTGCATGGGGCTTCCATCCTGCCAACTGAACATTTCCACATCACCCACACATAAAGTCAAGCCCTCAGCAAATATTCTCCCTTCTTCTCCAACCCCTCCATTGGTCCATGGAGTACTCACACAGAAGAGTCGATTGGTGTCCCTTTGATTATTACGCAGGAACCAACAGACAAAGACACAGGCAGTTTGTATGGCACCTGCCAGAGTATTGAGAGTAAGTGAGAGGTGCAGGGTCAGGTGCAGCCTCCCCTACTGTAACATATTCCCATAGTGCAGGAGGTTAGAGATCAAAGGGAGGCTCTGTGGACTCTCCCCTTTCAGCCTACCATGGTCAGGGCCCCATATTCCTGAAGATATGGTGGACCCATAGGTAAGAGTAAGGGTTCAGGAGCCAGGATGCCTGGATTCCGGTCGTCATTCTGCCTTTTACTAGCAGTGCAATCTTAGATTTGTTACTTGAACTCTTCCATCCCCATTTTCCCTAGGACAAGGAGAATGATCAGGAATTTCTACTTTGTAGGATGTTTTCTGTAATAGAGAGTTAATACATGTAAAAGTGTTACCCTAATCCCTGTCATGTGTAGGGCCTCTTAGGGGTGACCTAACAGAACAGGGGAGTCCTCCTGAAACACTGACCTGCCTTCATTCTCAACTCTGAAAATTAAAATAGGACTTGTAAATGTAAGAATGTAAACATTCACTCCAGTGGGAAACAGCACTTGTTGAAAGAGAGAAATGATGAAAGAACAGGAAACCCTTGGGTGTGGGAGGCAAATGCATCGCAATCATCAAGGGAAATGGATGTCCTTCCCAGAAGGGGCACACATTGCTGATAGCACGACCCCAGTACTTGCACAAATGAAGCCTATGGGTCAGGGATGTAACTGGAGGGAATGATTTCTACGACGACTACAAGTGGTTGAGATGATTTTTCTGTACTTTTGAGATAGGTTCTTGCTCTGTCACCCAAGCTGACATGCAGGGGTGCAATCATGGTTCACTGAAACCTCAAACTCCTGGGCTGCAGTGATCCTCACACATCTGCCCCCTCTTGAATAGCTGGGGAGAAAGGTGCCTGCCACTCTGCCAGTCGAATATTTAAAGTTTTTTAAAGAAAGGGTCTCACTATGATGCCCAAACAGGTCTCAAACTTCGGGCCTCAAGTTATCCTCTCATCTTTGCCTCCAAAATTGGTGGGATGATGGCCATGAGCCAGTGAACCCAGCTGCTTGGTTGATTAATATCCGCCATAAGCTCCTTCTGAACTGAGACTTAACTTGTTCTTTCACGGGTGGAGAACAAGTTTAGTCTCAGTTCAGATAGAGCTTACAGTGGATACTTTACGTGATTCGGTCTCTGAAACCATGGCCTCTAATGTCCTTTCCTACCAAACCAGTATCTGCACACCCTGCTGTCTCACAATGGGAAGAACTGGATGGGCTGGGGACAGGTAGGCTGAGCCTGGAAGACAAGAACGGTGGTCACTCTGTGCAGACCCCACCTGAGAAACCATCGCCCTCATAGTCTGCATTCCTCTTCCCCACTCTTACTGGGAAGAGACATCTACTGACCATACATTCTGCTCTCATAAGTGACCTGAAACAAGTCCTTGGTAACTCACAATCCCCAAGATCCCCACCAGTTAAGCCATCTGGGATTCACATCAGAGGTGCTGCTGTGTGGGGAGAAACATTCATGTGTGCAGAAAGCCACATGCATGATCCTACTTCAACACAGTCACATCCCAGCACACACACACACACACACACACACACACACACAGAGTCACACAGAGCCATGCCACTCACTGAGTCACACACACCTCCTCACATGCACATAACGATGCTCATGCGCTGGTCTGGCTGTGCTCACACACATATTCACATCATAGACAGGAAACAAAGCCCACTCACTCCCTTACTCTCCATTCACACACGTGCTTATCCTGGGGGGTCATCCACCTCCCACTTAAAGTCACATCATCTCAGCAGTTTACTCTCATCAGACATCACCTCACGCTCATAGAGGGTCACACTGGTCCAGGGTCCACACCCGAAGCCCCACAAGCATCTCAGATAGCATAGCCTCAGGGTTTCTATTCCACACATCATTAACTCTGAGTAAAGCATTCACAGTAGAAATGCTCATATTTTCTTCTGAGAAAATCTCCCATTTCTTTCTTGGTTTCTGTGACACGAAATTTTTGAAGGCTGTGCCTTTTCAACTCACAGGTAAAGAGGACATTGTTCTCTCCTTCTGGGCGACCTTCAGAATTGAGTCCAGTCTTCTGAGTGAATCTCTGAGTTGCAGCATTTAAATGACTCACTTCAGCCTTGCCCTCTGGCTTCATTCCAGATTCCAAGCTCCTCCCAGCAAGCTTTCCTTGCAACTTGAGAAAGGTTTAGGTGTCAAGAAGAAACTCAGTCACAACACAGCTATTTGCGGGTCTGTATCTGTAATGCAGCGGAAATGACAGTGGGGGAGGTACCAGGCTGTGGGTTGGGTTATGAGGGAAATGCATAGATAAGGATGATGGAGTGATGGGTAGTGGTTGTAAAGCCCAGCCTTTATGCCTCTCAAGTCTTTTCTCACCTATGCAGAATATACCCAGAAGGTGTACATTTTCCCAATTTGTACAATGGCTAAAAGAAAAGTTGGAGATTTTGGGGAAATACATTTGCTCTAGAAGGTAATGATTCTGTCTGCTTTTGAATGTTCTGGTAGAGCACTGACTCTGTGGAGAGAAGTAGATAAATTTCTTGCACGAACCTATTCCACACTAGGCTGCTTGGCTCTGCCAGGTGAGGGCCACTCTTACCTGACTGTCACACACCTGGACTCTAGCTATACCTTCCCTTTCTCTTGGTGTTCGTGTGAATAAAAGTTTCAGAGACACTGTTTCTCCTGCAGATTGTGGGAGGAAGGTGAGATTGTGGCTTTTGTTTGATTTTTCTTTCCTTTTATTTTAGGTTCAGGGGTACATATGCAGGTAAAGTGTCATGGAGTTTGTGGTACATATGATTTCTTCACGTGGGTACTAAGTGTAGTACTCAAGAGTTATTTTTTTTGCTTCTGTCCCATCTTTCACCCTCCACTCTCAGGTAGGCCCCAGTGTATGTTATTTCCCTCTTGGTGTCCATGAGTCTCATCATTTAGTTCACACTGATAAGTGAGAACATGCAGTATTTGGTTTCCTGTTCCTGCATTAGTTTGCTAACAATAATGGCCTCCAGCTCCATCTATGTTCCTGCAAAAGACATAATATCATTCTTTTTTAGGACCGTATAGTATTCCATTGTGTACATGTACCACATTTTCTGTATCCAATCTGTTGTTGATTGGCATTTGGGTTCATTCCGTGTCTTTGCTGTTGTTCATAGTGTTGCAGTGAACATGCATGTGCCTATGTCTTTATGGCAGAATGATTTCTATTCTTCTGGGTATACACCCAGTGATGGGATTGCTGGGTTGAACGGTAGTTCTATTGTTAGCTCTTTGAGGAATCACCACACTGCTTTCCACAATGGGTTAACTAATTTACACTGCCACCAACAATGTTTGAGTTCTCCCTTTTCTCCACAACCTTGCCAGCATCTGTTCTTTTTTGATTTTTTAATAACAGCCATTCTGACTGGTGTGAGATGGTATCTCATTGTGGTTTTGATTTGCATTCCTCTAATGTTCAGTGATATTGAGCTTTTTTATATGCTTTTTGGCCACCTGTATGTTTACTTTTGAAAAGTGTCTCTTCTTGTCCTTTGCTCACCTTTTTTGTTTTAAAACAGGTCTCACTCTGACGCTCAGGCTGGAGTGATGTGGCACCATCTTGGCTCACTGTAACCTCTGGCTCCTAGGCTCAGGTGATTTTTCTCAGCTCAGTCCTGAGTAGCTGGGACTACAGGTGCATGTCGCCATGCTAGGCTAATTTTTTTCTATTTTTAGTAGAAATAGGTTTTTGCCATGTTACCCGGCCTGTTCTCAATTCCTGGACTCAAGTGATCCACCAACCTTGGTTGCCTGAAGTTCTGGGATTACAGGCATGAGCCACTGTGTTGAGTTCTTTACCCACTTTTTTATGGGTTTGTTTGTTTCTTTCTTGTAAAGTTGTTGACATTTCTTATAGATGCTCAGATATTAGACCTTCTTCAGATACATAGTTCAAAAATATTTTCTTCCATTCTTTAGGCTGTCTGTTTACTCTCTTCATAATTTCCTTCACTGTGTGAAGCTCTTCAGTTTAATTAGATTCTGTTTGTCAATTTTTGCTTTTCTCCTAACTGCCTTTGACATCTTCATCATGAAATCTTTGCTCATGCCTGTGTCCTGCATGGTATTGTCTAGGTTGTCTTCCAGGGTGTTTATAGTTTTGGGTTTTACATTTAAATCTTTAATCCATCTTTTGTATATGGTGTAAAGCAGGGGTCCAGTTTCAGTCTTCTGTATATGGCTAGCCAGTTCTCCCAGCACCATTTCTTGGATAGGGAGTCCTTTTTCCATTGCTTGTTTGGTCAGCTTTGTCAAAGATCAGATGGTTGTAGGTGTGTAGCCTTATTTCGGGCTCTCCAATCTGTTCCATTGGTCTGTGTGTCTGTTTTCATACCAATACCATGCTGTTTTGGTTACTGTAGCCTTGTAGTACATTTTGAAGTTGGGTAATTTGATGCCTCCAGTTTTGTTCTTTTTGCTTAGAATTGCCTCAGTTATTTGGCTTTTTTTTTTTTTTTTGATTCCGTGTGAATTTTAAAATGGTATTTCCTCTAATTCTGTGAAGAATGTCATTCGTAGTTTGATACAAATAGCGTTGCATCTGTATATTTCTTTGGGCACTATGACTGTTTTAATGATGCTGATTTTTCTTATCCAGAAACATGGAATGTTTTTCTATCTTTGTGTCATCTCTGGTTTCCTTGAGCAGTGTTTTGTAATTCTCATTGTAAATGATCTTTTACCTCCCTGATTAGCTGTATTTTTAGGTATTTTTTTAAGACAAATTTGAATGGAATTGCATTCCTGATTTGTCCCTACCTGTCACTGTTGTTAGCATATAGGAGTTCTAGTGATTTTTGCATATTGATTTTGTATCCTGAAACTTTGTTAAAGTTGTTTATCAGCTTAAGGATCTTTTGGGTAAAGAGTATGGAGTTTTCTAGATATACAATCATGACATCTGCAAACAGGGATGGTTTGACCTTTCTTTGTATTTAGACACCCTTTCTTCCTCTCTCTTGCGTGATTGCTCTGGTCAGGCCTTCCAATATTATGTTAAACAGAAGTGAGGAGAGAGGGCACTGAAGAAATTGTGGTTTGAAAACCCTAGTTTGGCTGGGCGCAGTGGCTCAAGCCTGTAATCCCAGCACTTTGAGAGGCCGAGACGGGTGGATCACGAGGTCAGGAGATCGAGACCATCCTGGCTAACACAGTGAAACCCCGTCTCTACTAAAAAATACAAAAAACTAGCCGGTTGTGGGCGCCTGTAGTCCCAGCTACTCAGGAGTCTGAGGCAGGAGAATGGCATAAACCCGGGAGGCAGAGCTTGCAGTGAGCTGAGATCTGGCCACTGCACTCCACCAGCCTGGGCGACAGAGCGAGACTCCGTCTCAAAAAAAAAAAAAAAGAAAAAAAGAAAAAGAAAAAGAAAATCCTAGTTTAATTTCTGCTTTATTCATCATGGAGATTTTGTCTGTTGTCTATCAAATACAAAATAAAACCAAACTAAATTCCTCTCTTACTCTGTCGTATTGGCCCCTCACTTGGAAATACAGGGCCTAATGCACCAATGTTCAGCACCGCGGACAGCGCCACAGGGGCCACAGCTTTGAGGGACTTGGGCACCAAGGACAATATTATCACCGAGTAGATTTATTCTGTGGGAGGCTTCAACAAAAACTAAAAAGCCTAAATGCCTTTGAGAACGAAGGCTTTAGAGTCCAATAATGACTTTCTGTGTTTTGAGCAATGCCGTATTTGCTGGGAGAAGATCAGGAATTTTGGTTGAGGAGTATGAAAATGATGTTGAGTAGGTCTCCAGAGGCAATTCAAAAATTTTTGGTCGAACATTGGTCCCTGAACTCTATGTCATCTCTTTGTATCTGAGATTTCGTCCTGCCCACCATGAGCAAAAGGTATTATCTGAGATAAAAATGAGTGTAACAGATGACCCATGTGAGCTGAAATGATAAAGGGGATATCACCACTGACCCCACAGAAATACAAACTACCATCAGAGAATACTATAAACACCTCTACGCAAATAAACTAGAAAATCTAGAAGAAATGGATAATTTCCTGGACACTTACACTCTCCCAAGACTAAACCAGGAAGAAGCTGACTCCCTGAATAGACCAATAGCAGGCTCTGAAATTACTAGCCCACAGTGCAGCCACTGTAGGTTTCTTGCCTGGAGCTGGAGGGTCTCCAGGACCTGCACATGCATCGTGCCTCCATCTTGTCAACTAGACGTTTCCATATCACTCACACATGAGGTCACCCCTTGAGCAAATATTCTCCCTTCTTCTCCACCCCACTCTTGGACCATGGAGAATTCACATGAAAGGGAGGACTCGTGTCCCTCTAATTGTGATATAAGAACCAATAGTTAAGGACACAGCTGTGAAAGTGGCACCTCCTGTAACAGATATATCTGAGAGATCAAAGGACAGACTCTGAAGCTTCCCTACCTTCATCCTACCACAGTCAGGGCCCTGTATTCCTGAAGAAATGGAGAACCCATAGGTAAGGGCAAGGGTTCAGGAGACAGGATGCCTGAATTCCAGTCTTCATTTTGCCTCTTACTAGCAGTGCCATTTTAGATTTATCACTTGAACTCTCCCTGCCTCAGTTTTCCTAGGACAAGAAGAATTATCAGCAATGTTTATTTTGTAGGATGTTCTCAGTAATAGACGAGTTAATATATGTAAAACTTTTACCTTAATCCCTGCCATGTGTAGGGTCTGTTGGGGTGACCTAAAAGAAAGGGAAAGTCTCCATGGAACTCTAAACTGCATTCATTTTCACTCGGAAACTGCACAAACAAGATGTGAGGATGTAAGAATTTAGAAATTCAATCCAGTGAGAAACAATACTTGTTGAAAGACAGAGGGAAATGATAAAAGAACAGGAAACACCGGTGTGTGGATGACATGCATCACAATCATCACGGACAATGAACGTCCTTCCTAGAAGGGGCACACATTGCTGACAGCACAGCCCCAGTAGTTGCACACATGGACAGTTTGGGCCAGGGACATAACTGAAGGCAGTGATTGATTTCTACAATGACTACCAGTAGCTGATTTTTGCGTTTTTTTGAGACTGGGTCTTG